TCTGAGTCTATTCCTCCCCCATTTCTCCCTTTGATCCCTTTCTCATCTCCTCCAGACACTAGTACTCTGGCTCCTCATTGCTCCTTTAGCCCACACCAGTTTGGCTCAGCTGACAACTGGTCATTGTTCACTAGTCTGTTTACAGTTCACTTCTCAGGAAAACTTTCCTGATTCTATACACTAGCTTAAGTCTCCCTGGTTTGTACTCTCAGAGCATACTGCTGTAGCCTCCAGTTTTCCATTAAAATACTCATCCCACTTTTCTGAATTTATTGAATGCTGCCTTCCCTGGCAAACTATAATGTCCTTGATGGGCTGGGCCTGTTCTGGGTACAAATCTGTCACCAAACCTTAATATAGCATATGGAAGACAATAGGGTTAGTGAATTTAGTTGTATGTGAGTATGAGTATGCGTGTGAGTAAGTGTGTGTTTGAAGATTTGGCACTTGATCAGGCTGCATTAGTTAATTGTGAGCAAACTAGTACATTGTGCCCAGGGTGCTTACATTTCTGTCACTAAGCTAATGATGAGCAAAAACTAAGGACTACTTCCCTCACTGGGGATTTTTAAAATGCAAGAATCTTTAAGCTTAGCAAAGAAAAGTATGATACCTTTTCTCTTTTATACCCCCATTAATAATAAATTTGTATTAGTTTCTCTCTACGTTTAACTGTAAAACAGGCTATAAAGCTCAAATGAGAGAAGTTTCATGAACAATATGTGAAATAAAGAATAGAATTAGCATAACTACAGCTCATATTTAGAGATAATTTGAGTATTAACTATACCACATGCTTTCACTATGTCATATATATAAGCAAATGAAATTTATTTTTTAATTATTTATTGTATAGTGGAGGGAGAAAGTGATATAAAAAGTATGTTGGAATAGATGTTAATAAAGGAGTAATTTAGACCATAATACTTGTACTTTATCTAATATCGGTAATAATTGCAAATACTATAATAATGTACTAAATGCTTACAATAATTATTTAAGTAGCCAACAGAAATTTTGAAGAGGCAAATAATTTTCCATTCCTATTCAAAGTATATTAAACATTGGTTGACCGATATCTTTAAGTATCGATCAATTAGGAATACACAGGAGCTCTAATCTGAGAATGTGAGGGACTGCTATGGATTTATACATCTCTAAAAAGGTGCAATCAATATTACATAAGAATTATTGCTCTCTTCAAGAGATAGGTAGTACTAAGTAACTACTAAGACAAAATGCTTCAGGAAAATTAGTACAATGTATCAAAAATTCAGTACGGGTTCACTAATAACAGGAAATATAAATAAGTAGTTTGAAGTAACATTAATGGTAACATTTACTGTAAATGTGAAGATGCAAATATATATGTAAATCTATAGAACTACATTTAATGAATTCAAAAATGTGTCTCCACTGGCTAACTAAAAACTAGTGTAGCATAAAATTGCTTTTCACTCTACCCACCCTTCCTGTTTTAGCATATTCACTTCACTGAGGTTTTGTGGGAGAATCTGAGTTATTTCTACAACATTCATGAATTCTCCAAAGGGAAAATTACTTACAAAGAAAAGCAAAACTATCACAGGTAAATAAATCAATGAAAAGGGCAACATACAGGAAAATTTTGAATTATTTACTGATAAATTCTCTTTGTACTTAATATCTCGTATTCTCCCTGAGTGGCCTCTTACTGGGATACACTGAATTAAAGGAAACAATTGCAAATTCTTATCTGACATCTATAAGCAGAACTGTCTCTCTGTTTTTATGGGGAGTCTAGATAGGCTGCTTTGGAGAGACACTGATACTAATTCCAAAAATAACTTAAACACACCCATTGCATTTCAAATCTGAGACTTCTTATATTGATAATTTTATAGAAATTATATAAGGTAAGTCAATAAGATAGACATATCAAAGAGCAGGTAGGATCAAGGGTGGGGAGTATGGACTGTTGGGGTGGTGGGAAGTTGGGGTGGAAATGGAGACAACTGTACTTGAATGACAATAAAAAAAGTTAAAAAAATACTCTTAAGCTCTAAAGAAATTAAAGTAAGAAAAAAAATTTCCCAAAGAGAAGTAAAGATAAAAAAGACTACAGATTTGAGAATTTTACTGTGGTAAACTGAATTGTTGGCCCCAGTTATTTACCCCTCCTTATGCCCATATCTTTGCCATGTAACTTTGCAGTTTCACATAAAAACAGACATTTCCCTACCTATTGTATACAGTCTAAAACTTGCTTTTGACCAATAGAATGAGGGCAGAAGGATCTAATAGCTCAGCAGAAGGTCTTAAGTGGCATTGTGGTTTCTACTTACCATCTTGCTCTCCTGCCATTGCCATGAGAAGAACATGAGAGACATGTAGAGCAAAACTGAGCCTAACTCACAGTGAGGACAAAGCCTCACTAGATACCAGATCTTAGCTTATAACAACAGCCACTTCGGCATGTCCAGCCCGGATCAGTCAACCCCCACTTGGATCCACATCCATGGAATAAATAAATGTTATGTTTGAGTGCCACTGAGATTGTTGTGGTTATTTATTACACAGCACTATTTTGACTATAGCTTACAGATATTCTTATAAATTAAAGTAAGCAAAAGGGGTATGCTTTCACCTTCAAGGAATCTGAAAAAATATTTCCCTCTTCCTGAGATTGATTGTTCATTCATTTACCAGGAAAGTCAACAAATTCACATCTGAGTGACAAGAGTATTACATCTAGTGAGTTCATTCTAGGTTGGCGACTGACTTACTTTTTTCCCTTACTAACATGCAAACAATTGCATTAAATTTCAAATGTTTACCCTTTTCTCTCACGTATTGAAGAATCAATTACTGTTGGACTTCATATTTAAACTTGTGTAATTAAATTAGGTCAGTGGTTCTTGAATTGTTTGTCAAGGCCCATGACTCTAAGGGGGTGTTTAGAGCGCATGGTAGAAGCAAAAGAAACCTGTACAGTTGGAGTGCTAACCTACCGAACAACAAAACTCTTTTTTGATCTGTTTTAGATATTGAGACTTCACATGGACAGTTTACTATTTAAAAATTAAAGTTAGAAACCACCGAACAAAGTGTCCTTTAAAGTCTTTTCATACTGAAAACTCCATCATTACATTTTTGACCACTCCTTTTTCTTTTTTGCTATTACCATGACCCTAATTTAAGATATCATCACCTAAACTCCTGTGAGAGCTTCCTAACCTGACTTGCTGCTTTAAAGTTATAAATTGTGTCATTTCACTCCCCTGCTTAAAACTAGAATAAAACCACATTTAGTGGGGCCTCACCTTTCTCTTCAATCTCATTTCATGCCTCCTTTCCTCATCTTTCATACTGGATTGAAATGTAACCAGTTCCTTCCCAACTCAGAGTTCTCTCACATGTGGTCCTTCTGCTCTTCCCCTACTCTTCAAATGTTGACTCCTTTAGATCCGTCAGTTCTCAGTTTATAAACCATCCTCTCAGAGAGTCTTTCTCTGATCCACAAAATTAACACAGGTGACTTCTGTCCCCATTATTCTCTATGACAACACACTGTTCTCCTTCCTTGCACTTACCATGACTTAGTTATGGGAACATTTGTTGGTTGCTTTTATTATCTGATTTTCCACTTGAGTATGAGCCCCATGTGGCAAGGACCAAGGTATCTGGTTTATTTTTGAATTCCAAGGACCCAAAGTATTGCCTGGGACATAGTATTTGCTTAATATATGAATGAATAAATGACCTACTTAGCTTTTATTAACATGTTCTTTTTTACTACCTTTCATCATGATACAGCATTTTCATTTAAAAATGTGATCTCCATATCTGGTATGCTTATACCTGCTCTTAACATTCTTTAATTCATAATTCATAATGTTCTTTATTTATCGTAATTCCCTCTTTTTTTAACATGCCAATGGCCATTTTTTGATGTGTTCTCAGACATTATTGTCAGGTTGATCCCAAATCTTAGAACTATAATATACCTAAAATTAAATTAACAATGTAATTATTCAATAAATGAGACCTGAAACCTGTAAAAGTAAATGTATGCCATTTGACTGAAGTGACTGAAGAGTTTGGGGAATACTCAAGTTTCAAGCAAGGTGACTAGGATATAGTTTCAGGAAAATTGTGACCAAAGTTATATCCTAGCTAATTTCATTATCCTCTGTCATAAGAAAAGAAAAAAAATAAGTGTATAGTTTGTATATAGTCTATAAAATAGGGACATAATGAAAAAGAATATGGAGTGTTTTTCCAGCAATTCCCAGAGTAGAGACAACAGATATGAGGAATGGTCATATTATAGTCACTAGAGAAGTAAAGCCTGTGGATGGTAGCAGGTTATTCATAACCTCTTGCTACCGTCTGAGTGCTCTGAGAGTAGGCAGGCACAAGGCTTCTGGCTACAAGGAAAGAGAACTACCCTGAGACATATAAAGTTGGCATTTTGGCCTAGGCCAAAATTCTTTGGTGAGTATGTTTGGTATGAGTCAAGTTACAAGAATTCAACATATTTTGAGTTTACTTAAAACACTTAATTTCTTGATCTACAAAGCTAATACCCTAAAATAATAATTTGGAAAGAAAATGCCTTTGCCCGAACAGTCAGTAACCTCCATTGGGCACCACCACCATTGAGCCTAACTTCCTTCTTCATTCTCATATGAACCACATGTAATTTCATATTTGACACATCTATCATCATATAGCTGCTAGAAATTACATAATGTACTTTTGTGAATACATGATTACAAAACATAGAGTTGTAATATGAGCATTTTGTTGTCACCAAGACAGCCAGACATTTGTCAGAGCAAAGACACTATTCTGTAGCCTCAGCATGCATTCTTGTGGATGTGATTTCAACTTTTATCCAAAATGAAAACTTGGGACAATGTCTTGACAAGTTGTTTGGGGGATCATCAGCTATTTGTAGCAATCAGCATAGTGAATGATTTTTAAGGAAAATGTTTAAAAAATGAAAAATTTCAAACCTGGGACTGATATCTTTCCTACAGTCGGATGTTTCAGTTCCATAATGAGGCCATTGTGCAATACCTTGAAATGTAAAAACAGAGAACAAAACAAATCACAAAATAAAATTATCTTTAATCTCAAGATATATGGAAAGCCACCAATTCACTCCATTAAAGAAAGATATTGAAAAACACAAAAAATACCTAAAATTTTTAATAGTAAATATTTGACACAAAAATATTTCTATTTTACAGTATATCAACAAACTGAGAAAAAATAAAAGACTCAAGTTTTTCCCACTCTTGAAAATATTATTTGCTCCTAAATATAGGGTATGATATCCCCCTTTCATCTATGTATGATCCTCTAAATATTAAAGCTTAACCTCTTCCTATACTACTTCATAGCAGGCTTTGGCCAAGGTCAACTGCAGGACAGGTCAGGAAGAGCCAAACCTGTAATGGAGTTGCTCCCTGGGGTAGCACATACACTCCAGGCAATTGATTCAGAAAGATGCGGGGAGTCAGTCCAGTTTGAAAGATGAATCAGAGTATCCAAAAGGCCCAGCGACTTCTGGAAATGGACAGATTCAAGGCTGCTGTGACAAGCAATGAGCAGAGCCAGCTGATAAGGATCCCAGAGTAAGCCCAGGTCAGAGGCCTGAGCAGGAAATTGAAGCCAGAGATGTTTTCAGTGGTCCAAAGACCTTAATCATAAGACTAGGTTTCATAACTAGAACTCCACTATCCTACAGTCAGTGGAGGATGGTAGGAGTGGGAGGAGACAACTGAAAAAAAAGCCATAGACCTTATCTTGGGGGCCAATTAGAGTATCATGCATGGGTACCAAGGGAGGTATTTGGGGTCCCATCAAGGACTCAAGGTAGACTTGGTCTCAGGGTTAAGACTTAAGGCCAGTTACTGGGACTGCAATAATCTTTCAGTGTCCAAACAGCAGAAAGGTGACTTGATGCTGAATTATGGGACTACTGAACCAGAGCTACTTAAATCCTTGGCATAGAGAGGCTGTAATTTTTCCTATGGGATGGATAGGAAAATGAGTTCTGCCAGGGTTTGTGCCCTCCAACTGTAGGAAGAGGATGAGATGAAGGCATGGAATTAGATTCTACACATAAAAGTTGAATTACTGGAGGGAAAATGTTCTATAGTCCCACAAATAAAAATGCTACAAAATTGTTTTCTTTTCTTTTGCTTATTCTTTAATAGCTGGAGGCTACCTGGGTATACCCTTTCAAAAAATTTCTATTTACTATTACTGTATCTTCAGTGAGATATATATGGGTGGTTTAAACTGTTTCACCTGCAATATCTACCAATGGAGGGCTTCTCTCTTCCTGTTCTGTATATGGATCTAAAAGACAGAAATATTTCAGTGGCACAGTAAACTAGTGGACCACAATTTCATGCTAACATCCCCAAAACTGACAGATTGTAATAATGGTTCTCTAGTATTTTGAGCTTCAGGTGAAAGTCAAATTTGCATATCCATACTCTTATACAATATTTTCACAAAGCAAAAGAGCATGCAATACATAAACTGATAAAAATGTTTTCTCACTTGGAAAACTCAGGGAAAGAGGTCAAATATCTTGGATTTTATGTGTTTCTAGTGAGCCTTCTGGTCCCATTACGGAATAATCCACCAAAAAGACAATTTCATGAGTGGCTTTATAAGGTTAGAACTACAGCTCTTCTATGAATAAATATTCTGGCTCCCACTACTTTGGGGGGGAATGGTCACCACTTTGTGGATGATATGCTCTTTAAACAACAACCATGTTAGCTCCCCTCACTGAGAGTGATGCCACACCATATGGAGATCCTTTCTAGGGATGCCTTGCCTCTCTTTTGGAATCACCAGCTTTGCACCCAAGAGCTGGCCAGAGAAAATTCTTGCCAGTGTTAGAACTGTGCTATAATTTAATTCTGGTGTGGCTCGTTCTCAGCGCCCGCCCAGCACTGCCTCCTCCTATGTGGGGGTGGGGGCTAAATGCCAATGCGAGGTGCTAAATCTCAGTTCTACTGAGGACAGGAACAAAAATACCGAGCTAAATTTCACTTGAAACAATTATCTGCACACTGAATCATTCTTCTCCTATCTCTGTTGCCCTCCTGACTACCTCTTTGTAATAATACTGCACTGCTACTCACAAAAGACAAAAGTGAGTGTTCTTAGCTAAATATAACTTAACTGATAGTGTTGAAATTAATTAATGTGAATTGTAATTATGTAGCAAATGTTAAGTGTCAAACGTGAAAGGGTAGTTGGTAAAGGTCAAGGGACATATGTCAAAGTTTTGTGAAACAAAAACTAGCAGTTGATTGAAGTTTTTCATGGAAGAGCCTAAGGAGTGTACTTACTTCAGACCTACCCCCTTTGCTGTCTATATATGCGATTCCCAATATGAAACTTTGTTTTCTATACTTATCAATTCCTTTGCATTGAAAATCATCCTGTTTTAAGCAGATACATAATTTTTCCTCTGTCTGGCAAAGAAAGCTAACTGCAGTTTCTCATTTGCTGTAGCATTTGTACAGTTACATGGCAAATGGGATAGTCAGAGCCTGCATTTTCATAAAGAACTACCTCATTCCTTTGTTTGGTTGCCACCCCCCTTTTAATGTAAAGTCTGAAGTTGATAAAAGTTCCATAGTTTCTCATGATTCAGGTCAGATTATCTCAGAGAACAGCTGAAACTATGGCAGTGCTGTCCCTGGAAACCCTGCCTAATGACACAGAATCTTGGAAAACTCTCCAGCCTTGCTTGTGGGGCAAGTCCTGCTCTGCTTAGTAACATATTTGAGCATTTCAGAGACCAGACAGTTTCTCCGAATTTTAACATAAATCTCTCCTACCGCACTTCAGGCATATTCTCTCATCTTAACTTCACTGGAAATGGAGAAACTGCCACTTACCAACATTTATATAACATTTCTTTGGGAATAGTTATTAAGTGTTCCCTTTCCTTTTTATATCCAGGCTCAAAACCCTAATCTGTAGTACCTTTAACCTAGAAATTCACATTTAATAATGTTTCATTTTTCACTAGTAGTGGAATAGAACTCTGGCTTAGAACCTTCAACCACCATTTTCCCATAGGGAGAATTTCATGCTTAGAACCATAGTCTGACCATTCAGGATATTCTTCATTACATATTTAGTTATTTTGAAATAAGGCAAGGACCTTCTCTAGTATTTTGTAGTGGATCTTGTCCTTCTTTTATTTATTTTTCTTCTCCCTAAATATTCCCTGGTTTTGTAGCTTTTCTAATCTTCACTTCTCCTTAAAATTTCAAAAGCATTTTCTTGACAAGAATAAAATTTTAGACAGTGCACCAACATCTTTAGTAAAGTATCAGGCCTATTTAAAATAAGGCCTCTCTTTCTTCTTCAAGAGTTTTACAGATTGACAGCCTAATGATAGAGTCAAGTGGTAATGTATTAATGATGGGGAACAGAGTAAAATGTATACTGTAAAATGATGTGGGAAATAAAAGTTTAAGTGAAAGTAAGACAGTCTTTTTATAATGTCCTATGGCAGGAATGGCAGGAAAAAAAGTCCATAATATAGCACTAGCAAGAAAAAAAACTGTAAAAAATAAAATAAAAATACCCACTGTATAGGCAGCAAAAATCTTTACAGAAAACAAGAGATCTAGGTCAAGAATATAAGTAGCAAGGCATATTCAAATGAAAAGAGACTGATAAGAGTGCCAGCATTAAATGACACACACAAGTGATACATGTAAAGAGCACATCAAATTTATATATACATACACATATTACACATGGATACAGACAACAGTATAGTGAGAGCCAGAGGGAAGATAGGTGGCATAGGTGGAGGTGGGCAAAGGGGCAATAAATAGGAACAGAAAAAGACTTTACTTTGGGCAATAGATGCATGATACAGCATGCACACGATGTTATATAGAGTTGTACACTTGAAACTTTTATGAGTTTCTGAAGCGATGTCACCCCAATAAATTCAGTAAAAAAAATCAATGGGATACCATAAATGATATTAACTTAAGATTCACAAAAGAGAACTGATCTATCCATTCACCATGAATAAACATATGATCTATTCATTCAATTTAACAAACATCATGGAATATCTATATGTTAGATGATATTAAAGGGCTGGTAGTAAAAAGACAAATGAACTTCACTCAAAATGCATGCAATTAGAGGAAACAGTAGGGAGTAAGAGACCTGAGCCAATTTGTAAGACATAATTTAAACTCCACAAATTCCAATAAGGAACAAGTAAGTAATTCTGCCTGCCTCCAATGGAAGCTGAAGGATGTAGGTCAAGGAAGCAAGTAAAAGTCTTAGAACAAAAATGATAGTGAAATATAACATTTAGTTAACAATTACAATGATAAACAAAATAGCAGGTATTGCTTATCAAAACTCCTTAGGGTCAGGCATTGAATTAGGAGCTAAAGAGCTATCTCCATTTAATCTTCTCAGTAGCTAAACTAGGTAGAAATTACTATAATCTGCATTTCTACTGATACAGTGATGGAAGCCCAAAGAGGTCAAGCACTTGCCCAGGATTTCACAATTAATGAGTGGCTGTCAGATTCCTGAGGACTTAGTAAAAGGAAAAAAATGAACAAACATAATTTGATTTACCATTAATATAACTAGCTGATGTGGTCAGTTTTATGAAACAAATTAGTAAATTCATTGAAGAAAGAAAATCAGTCAAATGAATTGCTTGTACTGCTTGGTACCTTGAGGCCCAATTAGTTAATACACTGAACCTTTCCCTCTACGGTAGCTAGATATTCTGGCTAGCACAGACACAAAGGCTGTGAAAGAGAAGGGATTTGGGCTCTAGACAGGCTTAGATTTGGAGGGCACAGACCCAGTGGGTGACCTTGGGCAAGGCAATTAAGTACCTGAAGCTAATAAAAAAAAAGTATCTGAAGCTCAGAACCCTTATCAATGAAAAGGGAGTAATACTATCTCTTTCTCAAGAGTTTCTAAGGGTTAGTGAAATGATGATGGCAACGCACTCAGCATAGGGCCTATGAATGGCAACTGTTTTC